CCAAGCGCCTCCACCCTCAGACCCAAGAGTCCAGACCCCCTAGTCCCTCCTCCCTCAGACCCAGGAGTCCAGACCTCGACCTCCTCCTCCCTTAGACCCTGGAGTCTAGACCCCGACCTCCTCCTCCCTCAAAGCCAGAAGTCCAGACCCCAACCTCCTCCTCCCTTAGACCAAGAGTCTGGATCCCCAAGGCCCCTCCTCACTCGGACCCAGGAGTCCAGGACCCTGCGCCTCCACCCTCAGACCCAAGGGTACCGGCCCTTGCGCCTCCACCCTCAGACCCAAGAGTCCAGACCCCTAGCCCCTCCTCCCTCAGACCCAGGAGTCCAGACCCTGACCTCCTCCTCCCTCAGACCCGGGAGTCCAGACCCCAGCCCCTCCTCCCTCAAACCCGGGAGTCCAGGCCTCCAGTCCCTCCTCCCTCAGACCCGGGAGTCCAGACCCCCAGCCCCTCCTCCCTCAAACCCGGGAGTCTAGGCCCCCAGCCTCTCCTGCCTCAGACCAGGGAGTGCAGACCCCAAGCCCCTCTTCCCTCAGACCCAGCACTCCAGACCCCAGCCCCTCCTCCCTCAGACCCAGCACTCCAGACCCCAGCCCCTCCTCCCTCAGACCCAGCATTCCAGACCCCAGCCCCTCCTCCCTCAGACCCAGCAGTCCAGACCCCAGCCCCTCCTCCCTCAGACCCAGGAGTCCAGGTCCCCAGCCCCTCCTCCCTCAGACCCGGGAGTCCAGGCCTCCAGCCCCTCCTCCCTCAGACCCAGGAGTCCAGGCCCCTAGCCCTTCCTCACTCGGACTCAAGAGTCGAGGCCCCCAGCCCTTCCTCACTCGGACTCAAGAGTCGAGGCCCCCGGCCCCTCCTCCCTGAGACCCCGGAGTCCAGGCCCCCGGCCCCTCCTCCCTGAGACCCCGGAGTCCAGGCCCCCGGCCCCTCCTCCCTCAGGCCCCGGAGTCCAGGCCCCCGGCCCCTCCTCCCTGAGACCCCGGAGTCCAGGCCCCCGGCCCCTCCTCCCTGAGACCCCGGAGTCCAGGCCCCGGCCCCTCCCTCAGGCCCCGGAGTCCAGGCCCCCGGCCCCTCCTCCCTCAGGCCCCGGAGTCCCAAGACTCACGTCACCCCCGAAGTCCGTCTCAGCAGGAGGACCACCATTAAAATACCTGTGAGGGTCGGAGGTGAAAGGTCGGAGTCAGGCCAGAAGCTGTGGGAAACTCAAGTGGGAGGGCGGGGTTAGAGTCGCGGAAACCGCACTCACTCGATGGCCGGGAGCAGGTAGTGCTTGCGGAGCCCTTCGAAGTAGGGTCCCAGGTTGGCCGTACCCTCAATCACAAACACCACGTCAGCCACTAGGCCCCCGGCGCGGGCCGGGCCCTCGGACCCGGGGACCATACCCCGCGCGGAAGCCGCCACCGCCACTGCCGCCGCAGCCGACACCGCGGAATGAGCGGAAATGCGCCTGCGCTGCGCGCGCACCCGCGCCGGGCGGTTTAGGGCTGCTGGGAACGCACGGGCGGCCATGTTTGTGCGGGGCACGCGCTGAGGCTTCGATCTAGATTCATCCTCCTTCGCTCCAACCCGTGGAAGACTCAGTAAGGGCATCGTTAGCCCTTTTGGGAGCCTAATGGGGTAGACAGAATTATTGTCAGGATTGTCAAGAGCGAAATAAGTTGAAGGCGGCTCAGTCGGCCGCCATCTTTGAGCGGGGCGTCTGGGCCCGCCTCTTATCTCAACGGGAGGGGCAGGAGACCTGGTTGCTATGCAACGCGAACGCTGCCCTTGTTTTCTTTTTCTTTTATCCTTTTTGGTTTTTTTTCCGAGACGGAGTCTCACTCTGTCGCCCACCCTGGAGGGGAACGGCGGGACCTCGGCTTACTACAACTTCCGCCTACTGGGTTCAAGCGACTCTCCTGCCTCAACCTCCCCAGTAGCTGGGATTACAGATGCCCGCCACCACGCCCCGCTAATTTTTGCATTTTTAGTAGAGACGGGGTTTCACCATGTTGACCAGGCTGTCTCGAACTCCTGACCTCAAGTGATTCGCCAGCCTTGGCTTCCTAAAGTGCTGGGATTACAGGCGTGAGCCACTGCGCCTGGCCCGCTGCCCTTGTTTTCTAACCGTGAGATTAAGTTTCTGGTTCTGTTCTTTTGGGCGCGGGGCCTGGGGGGAGGGCCGCGAGAAGGGTCCAATCGCATTGGCGGAAACGAGGTTACTAGGCAACGCTTTAAGGTTGCCCTGAACTTGGAAGCGAGGGCAGTAGTTTTCCCCTGAAAAGAAGCTGAACAAGAACCCAAGTGCAAGGGTTGCTAAGCAACACCTGAGCGTTGTTTTCCGGGCGAGGAGCCAGAAACTAGCCTAGAACATAAATACATTCCAGGTGGATTAAAAATGTAAGTGCAACAAATAAAACACGAAAACTATCTGAAGGAAAAAAATCCTAATGACTGCCATGGAGTTTCTTAGCAAAGTCAGAATACGTAAAATATTAACTTGTCCGCAAAAGACTGCATAAAGCAAGTTGAAAAATATAACACGAACTGGGAGAATCTTTCTAGCGTGCTTGTTGACAGAAATGTACTACACAAATAAATCTTACCGATGAATAACAGCATAGAAAAATAGAAACACTTCATTATTATCATCTTTTTAGTTTAAATTTTATTTTTTGAGACAGGGTCTCTGTCTGTTGTGCAGGCTGGAGTGCAGTGGCCCAATCTTGGCTCACTGCAGCCTCTACTTACAGCACTGAAGTCACTCTCCTGCCTCTGCAGCAGCTAGGACCACCGCCACGCACCACCACTCCCGACTAATTTTTAATGTTTTTGTAGAGGTGGGGTCTCGCTATGTTGTCCTGGCCTGTCTCAAACTCCTGGGTTGAAGCGATGCTCCTGCCTTGGCTTCCCAAAGAGCTGGGATTACAGGCGTGAGCCACCGTGTCCTGCTACTTTATATTTCTTTTAATAGAAAGGAACCTGACCAGGGACGCGCACCGTGGCTCACGCCTGTACTCCCACGACTTTGGGAACCGAGATGTGCAGAGCATGAGGTAAGGAGATCGAGACCATCTTGGCCAACATGGTGAAATCCCGTCTCTACTAAAAATACAAAAATTAGCCGGCATAGTGGTGGGTGCCTGTAATCCCAGCTACTTGGGAGGCTGAGGCAGGAGAATCGCTTGAACGCGGGAGGCGGAAGTTGCAGTGAGGCGACATCGTGCCACTGCACTCCAGCCTGGCGATAGAGCCAGATTCCGTCTCAACAACAAAAAAGCCCCATAATCTTCACCAATTGAAAAGTGCTTACAGAAAGCCCAATGATATAGCATTTTATCTTTATCATGTTACATTTTTTTTTCGACAAAAATCTCACTCTGTCACCCAGGCTGGAGTGCAGTGGTGCTGTCTCGGCTCACTGCAGCCTCTGCTTCCTGGGTTCAAGTGATTCTCCTCCCTCAACCTCCTAAGTAGCTGGGACTACAGGTATGCGCCACCATACCCAGCAAAATTTTGTATTTTTAGTAGAGACGAGGTTTTACCTTCTTCGCCAGGCTGGTCTCGAACTCCTGACCTCAGGGGATGCACCTGCTTTGGCCTCCTAGAGTGCTAGAATAACAGGCGTGAGCCACTGCACTTGGCCTCCTGAAGCTTTTTTTTAAGAGTCTCAAGACGAAAAAAAAAAAGAGTCTTACTTGCTGAAGCCTTTTAAAGCAAATCAGTACAATCATATCATTTTACCCCTGTGTGCTTGGCAGGCATCTTTCCAATTTAATGAGAATATTTTTACATAACTAGTAAACCATTGTCACTGGTAATTAAATTAACTTGTTTCTTAGTATCATCTAACAGTAAGTGTGTATTCAAATATTCCAATTGTCCCAAAATGTGTTTTTACAATTGCTTTATTTGTATCAGATCCAAAGACCATACACATATTTAGACATTATATCTCAAGTTTATTTTAATCTAGAACAGCTCCCTCCTTTTTTATGCCTGTGTAACTAAAATTTTAATAAACATATAAAGAAAAGTAACCCAGAGAAAGGAAAAAAAAAAAAAAAGATCAATAGGCATGAAGGAAGATTAAAATGGTACCTAGGCCAGGCGTGGTGGCTCCAGCCTGTAGTCCCCACACTTTGAGAGGCCAATGTGGATGGATGACTTGAGCCCAGGAGTTCGACAGCAGCCTGGGCAACATGGTGACACCCCATCTCTACAAAAATACAAAAATTAGTCGGACATCGTGGTGCACACCTGTAATCCCAGCTACTCAGGAGGCTGAGGCAGGAGAATCGCTTGAACCTGGGAGACGGAGGTTGCAGTGAGCCGAGATCACGCCACTGTACTCCAGCCTGGGCGACAAAGCGAGACCCTGTCCCTTCCCACAACCCCCCTAAAAAAGAAAGAAAAGAATGTACTTTAGGAAGTAGGAAAATTAAAAATTATGCTAGAAAGATAGATTGATTTGCAAGAGGGAAGGGGAAGGGCGAAATGAATCATAAACACATTTATAATTACAAGTAAACACTACCTGTATAAAATAATAAAAATATTTATAAGGGCATCTTAGAAAGTCACTAGTTGGCCAGCACTAGTTGTTTAGTCTGGAGGTGTTCAACAACCTAATGTACATCAATACAGAACTGGTCAAATCAATTTGTCATAACCATAAAATGGATTATAAAAGCACATTATTAAGATGAAACAGACATACCTTTTATGGGAAAAAAGAAAATATGGAAATGTTAATATACTAATAATATTTGTGAAAACATTAATATTCTACGTTAGACTGTATTTTAGGAAAAAAATTGGGGATGAGATATCTTCACATTGTACATGGTATGTTAACATGCATAATTCATTGCACAAATAATGTTATTTTTATCATTCTGGAAAATAAAGGATTTCCTTGTTTTCTTTTTTCTAATAACAAAAACAACCATCTATTTTGGTGGTTACTAGGCAACGCTCGCCGGACTCAACCACCGTCGAAGGTTGGGAGGGGAGACGATGTTTTTCTCGATTTCGCACTAAGGAGGGGTGGTCGGACTTCGATGTGCCGCCATCTTTGAGTAGGGCACAGCCGTTTACAGCCTTGGAATGGAAATCGGACTGAATGGTGGTTGCTTGGCAACGCCCCACGGTCGCCACTTTTGAGTAGGGCACACTGTTTACTACTTCAAAATGGAAACGTAGACGGAATGTGGTTGCTAGGCAACGCCTTGGGATCGTCGCAATCTTTGATCGCGGCACAACTGTTTTTTCCGTTTAGAATGTAAATCATCAAAGTCTACAGGATGGTGTATAGGCAAGGCCTTGGCGCAGTCATCATCTTCAATCCGGCCTCTTGGTTCGCCTTACCTCCTCGGAGAAACTAAAAAGCTTTGTAAATTCAATTAGCCGCCATCTTTGTTAGGGGTACTATGACTTCCGGCTGGGGCGGAAGAGAACTTAACGGGTTTGGGGGAGGTGCCTGAATAGGGTTTGAGGGTCTGAGTTGGATGAAGAAGGCGGGAAGTTAATCCCGTTCCAGTCGGCTCCCCATCTCGCCCTCTGGCGGCTCCCGACCGCAGACCGAGTTACTGTGATTGCCGGCATGCTCCAAGACCGGCACTGACAGTCCCCACGTGGGGGCTGCGGTGGGAGTCCTAAATGGGGGAGGAAGGGACGGGCGGCACCGTGCATCTGCTGTGCCTCGCGGCCTCCAGCGGGGTCCCCCTGTTCTGCAGGAGCAGCCGCGGCGGCGCCCCCGCCCGTCAGCAGGTGGGGCCTTGGACGCCTGTATCTAAACCGAAGGGGGTTCGGTGTTTTGACTCTGGGTCTTCAAGGCAGTAGGGGCTGGGGAAGTTTCAGTGTTGAGTTTTGTAGGACCGAGGAGGCAATGGACCAGTAAGCCTGGTTCCCCAAAGAGACACTGCCAGGACATATAGAAAGAGGATGGGGCTGGGAGCTGGCACACTTGGATTCCAAAAAGGAGGAGATGGCGGGGGGGGGGGGGGGGCAGGCTACGGTCTGATGTGCCTTACTCCTCCTTAGCTCCCGTTCTCTGTCATCGGTTCTCTCAATGGAGTCCACATGTTCGGGCAGAATCTGGAGGTGCAGCTGAGCTCTGCAAGGACCGAGAACACGACCGTGGTGTGGAAAAGCTTCCATGACAGGTCCCCAGGCGGGAACGTGGGACAGGGACAGGGCCTGGGTTATAGTCCCTGTAAAAGATGACCTCCGAGGCCCTCCGGTTCTCTAAAGCCAGCTGTTAATTTGGCTATGGGATCTTTAGCAAGCCAGTTACCCTCTTTGATCCCTGCTGTTCTCTATAAGAAAGGCAGGTTGGGCTGAGGGAGGTTGTATCCGGCATTCTAGGATCAATGGGCAGACTCCAACATACCCCTTCCTGGTTCCCCAGGCCTTGACTCGCTCTTCCTTCTCACTTCCACTCCACAGCATCACCCTTATTGTTCTGTCATCTGAGGTGGGCATCTCTGAGCTGAGGCTGGAGAGACTACTCCAAATGGTGTTTGGAGCCATGGTGAGAATCCCCAATCCTTTTCTCCCCAAACCAGGAATCTGAGATCTCAGCATCCAGCATCCTTTTCCCTCAGACTTGGGTAGGAGTCCAGACCACCAAAGACCACTTCCTCCCTCAGAAAACAGGAATTTTTTTTTTTTGGAGATGGAGTCTTGCTCTGTTGCCCAGGCTGGAGTGCAGTGGCCTGATCTTGGCTCACTGCAACCTCTGCCTCCCAGGTTCAAGCGATTCTCATGCCTCAGCTTCCCGAGTAGCTGGGATTACAGGTACATACCACCATGCCCAGCTAATTTTTGTATTTTTTTTTTTTTTTTTTACAGAGGGGGTTTCCCCATGTTGATCAGGCTGGTCTTGAACTCCTGACCTCAGGTGATCCGCCTGCCTTGGCCTCCAAAGTGCTTGGATTACAGGCATGAGCCACCACGCCCGGCCTTTTTGTATTTTTTGTAGAAATGAGGTTTCACCATGTTGGCCAGGCTGATCTGAAACTCCCAACCTCAAGTGATCCGTCCATCTCGGCCTCCCAAAGTGCTGGGATTACAGGCATGTGCCACCGCGCCCTGCCAGAACCCAGGAATCTTGACCCCCAAGACCTAAGAGCGGGAGTCCCAGCCCCCTCTTCCTTCAGACCTAGGAGTTTGAGTCCAAGCCCGTCCTCTCTGAGAACCAGTTGCCCAGGGCCCTTCCTCTCCTATGTGGTTCTTCTAGGTCCTTCTTGTGGGACTTGAAGAACTGACCAATATCCGCAACGTGGAGAGACTGAAGAAGGACTTGAGGGTGAGGCTGCAGGACATGACGGTGGGAAGTTAGGATACCTGAGCATTGCCATTTGGAAACTACAGCTCCCAGCAGTCCCTGGGGCAGCCTGGTCCCACAGGTTCTTGGGGCAAGTTGGTTGTCTGACCCTGGCCCTGGGTCCACCTGAATCCTAGGCTGGTCCCTTCTTCCTCTGCTAGGCCAGTTACTGCCTGATCGACAGCTTCCTAGGGGATTCGGAGCTCATCGGGGACCTGACCCAGTGTGTAGACTGTGTGATTCCACCAGAGGGGACCCTCTTGCAGGTACTGGGGATGCTATGGAAACTTACACCTGCTCCTCTGGCCCTGGCTGAGTCCTCATCCTCTTTCTTCTGGACCATTGACCCAACCTTCTGCTATCCTCTCAGCTTCCAGTCCTATTCCCACGTGCTCCCAGAATCTTTCTTTTCCTTTTCCTTTTCCTTTTTTTTTGAGACAGAGTCTCACACTGTCACCCACGCTATAGTGCAGTAGCGAGATCTTGGCTCACTGTAGGCTCTGCCTCCTGGGTTCAAGCCATTCTTCTGCCTCAGCCTCCCCAGTCGCTGGGATTACAGGTGCTTACTGCCATGCCTGGCTAATTTTTTGTATTTTTAGTAGAGATGGGGTTTTGACATGTTGGTCAGGCTGGTCTCAAACTCCTGACCTCAAGTGATCTACCTGCCTCAGCCTCCCAAAGTGCTGGGATTACAGGCATAAGCCACTGTGCCTGGCCATCTTTCTTTCTTTTGTAAGACAGGATCTTGCTCTGTTGTCCAGGCTGGAGCGCAGTGGCTCGGTCATAGCTCACTGAAGCCTTGAATTCCTGGACTCAAGTGATCCTCTCATCTCAGCCTCCCCAGTAGCTGAGACTACAGGCATGTGCCACCGCGTTCACCTATTTTTTTTTTTAAGAGATGGGCTGGGGTTGGGGACAGTTGTCTCACTAAGTTGCCCAGGCTGGTCTCGAACTCCTGGGCTCAAGAAATCCTCCCACCTTGGCCTCCCAAAGTGCTAGGATTACAGGTGTGAGCCATCACACCCTGCCACCAGAAGAATCCTACTATACCCAGAGCTGGCCCTACCCCTTTCCTGCTCACAGCCCTCTGGCAGCCTCCACCTTCCCAAAGACAAGGTCCCAGCCCCTCAGCCTGGTGTTTGAAGGCCTGTGGCACATGGCGCCCCCTAACCTGTTACTAAATCCACAAATCTACCTCCATCCAGCTGCCTCAGGGGCCCCACAGATCCCAACAACTTTCCAGTCTGGATACATGCTCTTCCTCCCACCTCTCGGATCTCTAGCTTCTACTCCTTAAATACTGCTCTTGCAGACTTGCCTGGTGTGGGAACCTCCCAGCAGTGTGACTTCTCAGCAGGTGACTTGGCTTCTCCACGTTGCTGATGGCGCTTACTGGGCATGTAACAGGACTCTATGAAGGGTAGCTGCTGCAGTTACGTTAATTAGCTTCAGTTTGCCCACTCAGGCTAGGTTGGGTTTTTTTTTAAGATGGAGTCTGGGCCGGGCGCGGTGGCTCAAGCCTGTAATCCCAGCACTTTGGGAGGCCGAGGCGGGTGGATCACGAGGTCAAGAGATCGAGACCATCCTGGTCAACATGGTGAAACCCCGTCTCTACTAAAAATACAAAAAATCAGCTGGGCATGGTGGTGCGTGCCTGTAATCCCAGCTACTCAGGAGGCTGAGGCAGGAGAATTGCCTGAACCCAGGAGGCGGAGGTTGCGGTGAGCCGAGATCGCGCCATTGCACTCCAGCCTGGGTAACGAGAGCGAAACTCCGTCTCAAAAAAAAAAAAAAAAAAAAAAAAAAAGATGGAGTCTGGCTGTGTCACCAGGCTGGGGTGCAGTGGCACAATCTCGGCTCACTGCAACCTCTGCCTCCCGGGTTCAAGCGATTCCCCTGCCTCTGCCTCCCAAGTAGCTGGAACTACAGGTGTGCACCACCACACCCAGCTAATTTTTAAATTTCTAGTAGAGATGGGGTTTCACTCTGTTGGCCAGGATGGTCTTGATCTCTTGACCTCGTGATCCACCCGCCTTGGCCTCCCAAAGTGCTGGGATTACAGGCGTGAGCCACAGCTGTCCGGCCCAGGCTAGGTGTTTAATCAGACTTCGCAGTGTGAGTTGGGGATGTGACTTCGTGTGAAGGTGAAGGAACTCAGGCTCAGAGAGGGTGAGGTGCAGGAGCATGGCCACTCCGCGAGCTCGGGGCTGGCCGTGGGTCTCTGTCCATCCCCTGCCCACCTGGGAAGTCGCTGCCACCCCCTGCGCCTGTCTGCTGACTCCTGGTCCCCCTGCCTCCCTTACCCAGGAAGCCCTCTCCGGGTTCGCTGAGGCCGCGGGCACGGCCTTCGTCAGTCTGGTGGTGTCGGGCCGGGTGGTGGCGGCAACAGAAGGTTGGTGGCGGCTGGGGACGCCCGAGGCCGTGCTGCTCCCCTGGCTGGTGGGGTCCCTACCGCCGCAGACCGCTCGCGACTACCCAGTGTACTTGCCGCACGGGAGCCCCACGGTGAGCGGGTGGGGCGGGCAGGGGGAGGTGAGCCCTGCGAGCGGGGCGGAGGGATGGGACCTGCGGACCAAGTCGCGAGGAGGCGGGATCTGCGATGGAAGGGGCCGGGGCCGCGGTCAGTCCCAGCCTGTGCCCTGCTTCAGATCCCACACCGGCTCCTGACGCTGACGCTGCTGCCAAGCCTGGAGCTGTGTCTGCTCTGCGGACCGAGCCCACCCCTCAGCCAGTTGTATCCACAGGTGAACCCGCTCCACGTCCCGCTTTCCCCCTTAGGACATTCTCTACCCGCAAGGCCCTTACCCCACCACGCTGCCCTGCCAGCGGCTTCTTTCCCGGACCCCTCTTGGACTGCGCGCCAATCAATCCCCCAAGATCGGCCAATCACGCGTGGCCTCTGTGCTTGCAAGCCTCGCCCCTTCTCTAGTCCCTTCTGCCCTCAGCCCTCCTCTCTTCGTGTAGGCCACGCCCTCCCGATTGACCACGCCCCTCCTGCCTTCCCCCCTCCCCGGCTCCGCCTTCCCATGACCACGCCCCCCGCAGCTTTTGGAGCGCTGGTGGCAGCCGCTGCTGGACCCGCTGCGGGCCTGTCTGCCGCTGGGACCCCGAGCGCTGCCCATTGGCTTCCCCCTCCACACAGACATCCTCGGGTAAGGCTCGGATGGAGGGAGTGTGTTGGGGATCATGTCCTCTTCCCTAGCCATGACAACCCTTCCCTTTCCCACAGGCTGCTGCTCCTCCACCTGGAACTGAAACGCTGCCTCTTCACTGTGGAGCCCTTGGGGGATAAAGGTGACTGAGGGCAGGGACAGGGTCAGGAGGGGCGCAGGCCGAAGAGGGGCTCTGCATCACCGCCTTTTCCTCCCCGCAGAGCCTTCCCCAGAACAGCGCCGGCGCCTCCTCCGAAACTTCTACACCCTGGTCACCTCCACGCACTTCCCACCAGGTGAGCGGCAGGGACAGTCCTCCGACTGCGCAGGCGGGACACCGAGTCCCAGATGGCACAAAGTGGGAGTAGGCGGTGGGGTTGGAGGAACCCAGCATGCCTAGGCCACGGGGAAGTGGTTTTCCTTGAGAACTGAGCATTGACCCAGAGGAGGGAGGGGAAGGGAAGTTCCTGCCTGGCTTCAGAACCTCCTGAGCCATAGTTAACAATAATTGGCACTGAGATCTCACCTCTGGCCAGTGCCTTTGTAGGTAATAAAAGAATGAAGTCACTTCATCGTCACAGATGAGGACTATCCTGTTACCTCATCATTCCCATTTTACAGATGAGGAAACTGAGGCCCAGCTCATAAGTGGTAGAGCCATATTTGAACACAAGGGATCTGGCTCCCATAGCCACAGTCCAGTACTCTGCACTACTGCCGAAAGCACAGGCTTTGCTGATAGGCTGGGAGGGATGGGGGAGGATTTCACAGATTCCAGGTTAAAAAGGAAAAATTGTCATAGAACCCATTAAGGCCCGAGAGAGAAAAAGGACAGGACCTGGGATGGCACCACGACCCCAGTGAGGCCCGATTAATGCAGCACAGTGGTCAAGAGCTCCATCTCAGGAGGCTGCACCCCTTCCTAGCTGTGTGACTCCACCTCTCCCTGCCCCTACCGGCCTCCCTCCACCCGCCTGGGACAGTGGGGTGGGTGGCTCCTGGAGGAGGCTACTGGAGCTCCTGTGTTGCTGCTGTGTTTGCCACGTGTGTTGTTAAGAGGATCGTCCACGGCTGCACAGCTTCCCCAGAAAAATGAGGGCCAAGGCAGAGAAAGAGGAAGAGGGTGAGCTGAGCTAGAGAGTCCTGGTCTTCAGGTTGCTGATGGCCAGCTGGAGCCCTGAAGCCCTTACCTGGCAGGAGGCTCCCAAAGCCTGTGCTCAGAGACCCCATGTGTTTCAGAACTTGGACCCAGGATGGGGTGTGGCTTCCGAAGGTTAACATGCTACTTGTCACCTCAGTGCCTCCTGTCCTTTCCCCAGAGCCAGGGTCACCAGAGAAGACGGAAGATGCGTTCCACCAGGCCCAGCTGCCCAGAGCCTGCTACCTGGTGTTAGGGACCGAGGAACCAGGCTCAGGAGTGCGTCTGGTGGCCCTGCAGCTGGGGCTTCGGCGGCTGCTGCTGCTGCTGTCTCCTCAGAGTCCTACCCATGGGCTGCGAAGTTTGGCCACCCACACTCTGCATGCCCTCACCCCGCTTCTTTGACTACCTAGCAGTGGGTGATGGACACAGACATGGGGCTGTTAGCGCCTCTCTGTTTTTATTCGCTCACAATAATACACAGCCCCTGGATGGGGAGGGGGTAGGAGGGGCTATGACAGGGTGGGGTGGGAGGGGAGGAGGCATCCACTTCCCTGGCCCCTCTCCCCTCTGTGCTTGGGGGGGAAAGGGAGGGAGGGGGCTCCCCCTGACCCCCCAGAATGTAAACAGCAGCAGATGAACAAAAATAAAAATACAAAAGGCTGGAGGAAGGTCCCAGGCATCTCCCAACCCCTGGGGTCTTCTCTGTCACCAGTGGAGGTCCCCCATCCACCTCATCCACCAAAGTTGCCTCAGTCCAAGGGGCTGCCCGGTGCCGGCCACATCCCCGGGGGCAGAGTCGAGGGCTCAGAACTGCTGCGCTAGCAGCTCACACAGGTGACGGGAGACAGACTCCTTGCTGGTGCGCAGGGTCAGCCGGTACATCTGGGTCGGGGCATTGGGGGCAGAACTCAGAGGGGATGGGGAGCCCAGGGAAGTGGGGACACAAGGGAGATAGAAGGATAAAGGGGCCAGAAAGCCGATACAAGACACAGGAGAGAAGAAAGTCAGAATGAAATCAACAGAGGAGCCAGAGAGGAGGGAAATTATAAAAGATGAGGGAGAGAGAAAGGTGGAAAGGATATGGAAAGGTAGAAATCAGGGAGGGATGGAAAAGGAGAGGAAGACCAGAGGATGGAGGCAGGAGAGAAGATTGATGGATAAAGAGGAAGAAAAGTGGACAAAGAGACGCGAGAGGAGGGTCAAAGCGGGGAACGTGAATTAAAGAACAGTGAGGCAGGAGGGGTGGGGCGCAGAGGGGACAGGCAGCCTTCCTGCCGGCCTCAGGCGGCCCACAGCAGCACTCACCTGGGCCTGGGCGTTGGGCTCCAGCCGGAGCAGACAGCCCACCTGCAGGGCTTTAGTCTGGATGATCCCCGCCCCCACGAAGTTCTCAGGGTTGGGGTCCACATTGTCCAGGAGAGCAGAACCAAACCCCAGAAGCTGGGAGGGAGGGGGGCCGCCGTCAGAGAAGGCCAGAGCTGTTAGCTACCACACAGCGGCATCCCAGATCCCAAAAACCCTTGGGGATGGGAATTGGCCCCACTTTACAGATGGGAAAACAGAGGCTCAGAGAAGCAAAGCGGCCATGGGCCGGCGAACACGCCCGCGGTCTCTCACCTTGGCCTTAGTAACTTCTGCGTCCATGGGGTGGTTGGCTTTGAAGATTTTCTGCGCCTCCTGTTGAGGGCTGGAGACCACGAAGGTTCAAGTCAGGGACCTGGACGGCCCGGGCCTGCCCACCCGGAGGCGCGGCTTTAGCTCCGCCCCCTCCCCACCCCTCACAGGCTCAGCTGCTTCCAGCGCTGGAAAAAATCCTGGGCCGCCATTTCTGTGGGCTGGAAGAACTTGTTGATGGTCACTGGGAGCTTCAGGGTGAGGGCTTGGGGGGCGCCACCGTACCTGGTGGGGTGGAGAGGAGACTCCGTCAGGCCCCGCCCCCCCGCCGGGCCCCCCCCCCCCCCCCCCCCGGCCGAGCAGCGCCCGACTCACCGGAAGCGCACAGACAGCAGCGGGGGCGTCAGGAAGTCCCGCAGACACTCGATGTTGAGCACCTGCTGCACCTGCGCGCCGCCGTCCACCTGCGCCGCCACGCGCTTGGTCTGCACAGCCAGCTGTGCACGCCAGGGGTCAAGGAAGCCAGACAGAGGAGGCGGGCCCCTGGGAGGTCTGGGTCAGGATCCCCAGAGCTCCCGGCAGCTCCCACCTGCAGGCCTTTGAGGGACCCCACCATGCAATCCTGGACTCAATCCTACGAGGTTCAATTACAAAGTGCATACTGTGGAAACCTCTGAGGCACCCCCTAGGTGCCTCCTTTGGCCTTCCACAACGTCGCACCGCAATGAGACAAGAATATTGGCTCTGGAGGCGGATTTGGGTTTGCATACCAGCTCTTACCACCTGAGTGGCTGTGGGCAAGGCACTTAACCTCTCAGCCTCTGGACATGTGTAAGCCTGGGCAACATGACAAGACCCCATCTCTACAAAACAATTAACCGGGTGTGGTGATGTGCACCTGTGATCCCAACTACTCGGGGGGCTGAGGCAGGAGGATGCCTTGACCCAGAGGCTGAAGTGAGCAGTGTTCATGCCACTGCACTCCAGCATGGGTGAGTGAGGCCCTGTCTCAACAAAAGGACACGTATAAAATGTCCTCAGGTGCTTCAAGGCTTAGCTTTCCAGATAAAGGAAAAAAAAAAAAAATAAACTGTCCTCAGGAGTTGACGAAATAATCCAGCCAGTTGTGGTGGCGCACGCCTGTAATCCAGCACTTTGAGAGGCCAAGGTGGGGAGGATCACTGAGCCCAGGAGTCTGAGACTAGCCTGCGCAACATAGTGAGGCCCCATCTCTATAAAAATAGAAATAATAATAAAAAAAAGAATCCACTATAAGTACTTGTCTGTGTGCATGGCACATGGCAGGTATACAAAGATGGCAGCAATTAGTGTCATCAACATTTGCATCCACATCAGTAACCCACGGGAAGGCCTGAGCCTCAGGCTTCTCTCACCGCTGCCTCCACCCCGTGCCTGGCATGGAGCTGCCTGCTGGAAGCCTCTGGAAATGATGGAAGAGTTTTGCTTTTGTTTGTCTGTTTTTGAGACAGGGTCTCACTCTGTCGCCCAGACTAGAGTGCACTGGCGTGATCTTGGCTCACCACAACCTCCGCCTCCCAGGCTCCAGTGACTTTCCTGTCTCAGCCTCCCGAGTAGCTGGGATTACAGCCGTGCACCACCACCACTCAGCTAATTTTTGGGTTTTTAGTGGAGATGAGGTTTCACCATGTTGGCCAGGCTGGTCTCGATCTCCTGACCTCAATGATCCACTGGCCTCTCAAAGTGTTGGGATTACAGGTGTGAGCCACTATGCCTGACCAGAAGTAGTAGTTTTGGGGTCAAGCACCTCCAGTTTCATGAATGTGGAAATGGAGGTCCACAGGAGGGACAGGGGGAGCTGACACCTCCAGCCACCCTTCCGGGTTTTTCAGACACTGTGATCATCACAATAACCCTATGAGGAGTTAGAGGAGGGTCTACATACACTTCACAGTAGGGACAGGGGCCCAGAGAGGCAAAGTGACTCAGCCCAGGTCACACAGGAGGCCCTGGTCAGCATCTGGACCCGCAGGCCTGGCTCCTGAGTGCAGGAGGTGCTGGCATCATGGCAGGGAGCCCAGTGGAGGATAATGCCAGGACACGGAAGGCGCCGGATAGGGACAGACTGAAGCCTGGAGCAGGTGGAGTTCTGGAAGTCATGCCTCCCACACACCACTGCTTTGTCAACTCCTGTCCTGGAGGAAGGAATCCCACCCCCATCTTACAGATGCTGACTCTGAGAACTAACCACATGCCCAAGAGGGGCTGAAGACAAGTGTGGACCTGGGTCCTCGGGCTTCCCCTTGGTGAGGAAGGCTGACCTGGGGTAGGGCTGGAGGCAGGGGGCTGGCCCAGGCCTGACAGGATATGAGTCTGGAGGTCTCCCGGGTGGACGACCGTGGGCGAGAAATTCTGGAACTGCACCGAAGTCTTGTTGCCGTAGAAGAGATACATGCGGCCTGCAGTAGGTGGGGGAGGCGGAGCTCCATCTGAGTCCTCTAACCATTCCCCAGCCTCGACCCACGCTGAGGTCTCCCTTCAAGCCGCCCCCACAGTCCCCCGGAACGTACCCAGGTTCTGCCGGAACTCTGACTTGACTCCGATCTGCAGCAGCTGGTTCTCGAACAGGACTCCGTTGTTCTTGCACACGAACCTGGGTGGGAGCGGCAGGGGCACAGGATGACCGGGGTGCCAGTCTGCACCTGGCCTGGGCGCTGCACCTGTCCTCATTCCCCTCCCCCACCTCTCCCAGGACTCACTTATTCAGCAATTCGTCAGCTTCTGGAATGGGAGGGCCAATGTCCTCAGGACCTGGGCTGGAGGCAGGGAGCGGAGTGAGATTGGAAGGGACTTGGGGAGAGGCAAAGGCCCAGGGCAGCTGAGTGTGAGACAACAAGCCCTGAAAGGACCAAACCCCAGATCCACATACCCAGACCCCTCGCAGAACCTCAAACCCATCCAGCAGTGACCTCGAATGGGAGTGGAACCCTGGCCCATGCTCCCGCACCAGCAGACACCACGTTTCCCTTTCCTCCAAGTCCCTGACTCTGCTGCTCACCAGGAACCCCTTGACAAGAGCTCCCAGTCCCCTAACTCTCCCTGGGACACCCGAGTCTACTCCCCCATGCCCTACCCCAGGCCACCCCTTACTCAGCAGCTGGAGCTGGGTCAGCCAGCAAAGCCATGGGGCTCTCGGGGGCAGGCGGCTCCAGCTCGCTGGGCCATCCAATCCCAGAGCAGACAAGACAGGTGTGGCAGGCAGCCAATCCCAGAGAGGCAGCAAGAGGGCCGAAAAGAGAGAGAGAGGAGGGAAAGAGAGAAGGAAGAGCAGGCTGAGAAACGGTGACAGGAAAAGAGAAAACAAAGGGTGGCCAGGGACAACAGAGTCCAGAGTGGCAAAGGGGGGGCACGAGCAGGGAGGCTGGGGCAGGGGAGGCAGCAGCCAGGGCTGGCGAAGGCATCAGGAGGGAGAGGAGCGAGTTGGGGGCTGGAGAGGGTCTCAGGGAAAAAGGGGGCAGAGGCCAAGAAGGGGCAGCCCTGGGGGTGGCCGAGAGAAGGGGCCCAGGCCCAGGGGGTGCTACCTGAGGAAGGCCTCCTCGGGGGTGGGACCCAGGCTGGGCTGGGCGGCTGGCCCATCGAAGACGTCCACCAGGAGGTTCCCTGCACCTGCAGACGCAGGGGGTGCTGCCGGGGGAGGGGCTGCCCGCAGCCCCAAGAGGTCGGCGGAGGGCGAGGGCGTCGACTGCAGGGAGCATAGGTGTCACGGTGAGGACAGGCGGCACCCTGGCCAGACCCAGCCCCAGGCAGCCTGGCAGGCCTACCCCAGGGAACTCACCACGGTGCTAGGGGTGGGTTCTACGCCCCCGTTGATGTCATTGCTGCTGGGGTCTCTCCGGCCATCGTCCAGGGCGCTGGCAGCCCCGGGCCCCTTCTTGCGTTTCAGCTTGGCCAGGATGGACGACTCGCGCTCAGGGAAAGGTGGCATCTCCTCCAGCACCGTGGCCTGGTGTGGTCGGGGTGGGGAAGGTCAGTTCCGGTCAGAAGGAAGGGAGGGCGGGCGAGGGGAGGGAAGTGGGGTGGGGGACA